ATTTATTATTAGTAGTAATAGTAGCAGTAGTAGGTATAATATTGGCAATAGTACTTTTTTAATTTTAGTGTCAAGTAAAGACATCTTAGATAAAGATTCTGACAGTCTTGTCTTTGATCACAGACCCATTCTTAAATTAATTGCTATAATTATGAGGTAAGGTACTAGGACTGGTTGAGTGTGCATCAGGAACTAATCTCTGGTCAGTCCTTGCTCAAAGAGATAAAGTCTACAAAAAGATGGCATCTTCTGTTTGAATCATCTGGACAGAAAAAATAGGTTAGGGAGAAAGAGAAACAGTTTCCAGAAGAAGGGTTGCCAGACCCTAGAAGGGAGGTCCAGCCAGAACCAATATCACTTACTATAGTGATTTAAGATTATCTGTGAGGGAGTCAGTATTTTAATTCTGGACTATTTTCCTTCAAATCCTATGCTTTGAAACTGTATAATGAGTTTGTAAAAGTAGAGAATAATTGGATTATTTTTTATATTTAGACAAGATTTTAAGGCAGAGATTTTACTGATAACATTACATTCTGTAACTCTGTCAGATTGTTTTCTAATCATTAAGTACTTTTTACATATTTAAAAATTTCTCCTGCAAACAAAGATATGAAAAATTGTGGTATATATATTTATATATGTGTATTAAGAATTGTAATGCAGGGCTGGGGATGTGGCTCAAGCGGTAATGCGCTCGCCTGGCATGCAAGGGGCGCTGGGTTTGATCCTCAGCACCACATAAAAAATAAAATAAAGATATCGAGTCCACCGAAAATTGAAAAATAGATATTAAAAAATTCTCTCTCTTCTCTCTTTCTCTCTCTCTCTCTTAAAAAAAAAAAGAACTGTAATGCAAAAAAAAAGTACATGTATAATGGCATAAATTGACGTGAACATACTTTATATACAGAGATACAAAAAATTGTGCTCTATATGTGTAATAAGGATTGTAATGCATTCCACTGTTGTCATATATTTTTTAAAAATAATAAAATCAATTAAAAAATTTCTCCTAGACTTAGGTTGTAATTCAGTGGTAGAGCACTTGTCTAGCATGTGTGAGGCATGGGGTTTTGATACTCAGCACCATAAATAAATAAGTAAAATAAAGGTCCACTGACAACTAAAAAATTATTAAAAAAATAAATAGATAAAAATAAAAAATTACTCCATCAACATTAAAGTTCTGAGTAGCTGGGCTTGGTGGCTAATGCATATAATTCCAGCAACTTTGGAGGCTAAGGCAGGAAGGTCAGGAGTTCAAGGCCAAGCCTTGGTAATCTAGTGAGACTTGATCTCAGAATGAAAAATAAAAGAGGGTGGGGTGGGGTAGAGTTCTAAGTAATGTTGATATTTAGGATGAAAGCCTTTTTTTCCCCTAAATTATATGACATTTTCTACATTTCACCTTCTAATCCTGATATGGTAGAGATATTAGTATCTACATATGGAAAAGAAGACTGGGGCTCTGAAAGGTTAAGTGATGTAATCAGAGTCAATCTGTGTTTCACAGCAGAATCAAATTAGAATCTGTTCCCTGGTTTTTTTTGTTTTGTTTGTTTGTTTTGCTCATTTTGTTGCTCTCCATAAGATCCACATGTCTTCCTAATGTCTACATGAAAATAGCATCTTTTACTTTGCTTGTAAAAGCTACTTAATAATAAGCATTTTGAGGGTTAAATGTGTCCCAAAAGAATTTTTACAAATGGGGCTCAAGAGTGTAAAATGTAGCTTAATGAGTTTTTACAGCTTTCTAGTTTTCAAGCTTCGTTTTCTGGTTAGAAATGCTTATTTTCAGAATAGAGGATTAAACTATGTGTCTGGGAAGGACTTCGAAGGTGATTTAATTCTGTCTCTATGATAATATTGGAATAGCATCAAAGTTAAGGCAGATGGCTCACTCCCTTCTCCTCCTAAACAGAGCCTGGGAAAATGGAAGTGAATCACATGGACTCAAGGTTTTTCAGCCTGTCTTTGTGAGCCACTTTTGACTACTTCATATTAGATCTATGCAGTTATCAACCTCAGGCTTCTGAAAGCCTAGCTTGGGCTTTGTTTTCTTTGATGATTCAGATTCCAGGGTGCATGGAATTAGATCTGTCAGTCTGAAACACTGGGAAGCTCTGTCCCTGGTTCTACCTATAGCTTTGGTTCTTATGGATTCCTCAAGATGTGCAAGTATCTTGAAGGTAATAGGGGTAAAAAATATATATACCTGGGGACTCTGCATATAAAGATTGCCACTTCTCATTGTGGCACAGATCCTTGAAAAGAGAATTCAGTTTTTAAATTACTGATGTTAAACAGAATGGTTTGTGTTTAGGAGAATGCGTGTTGTTGTGACCAAACATCTTTCATGTATCTAAATGTATATTTAGATGTTTTTACTTGTCTGAAGTGAGAAGATAATTATAGAAGTTAAGAGCTATTGCATGACAATAGAATAATAATTTGACATCTGAAATTATAAGTCGTAAGAAAATTATTCAATTATCAGTGTGGTTTATGGGGCAAGTTTTCAGTTTATTTCTGTATAGAAAGTGATATAATTGAACATTTAATTTTTACTTTTTTTATTATTAAAATATATATATATATATATATATATATATATATATATATATATTTAGTTGTAGATGAACACAAAGTATCTTTATTTATTTTTATGAGGTGCTGAGGATCAAACCCCATGGCGCTTTACCACTGAACTATAGCCCCAGCCCAGAACATTTAATTTTTAAAGTTTTCTCTTTAGCAATGTATATGATAGTACTTGGTTTTGATTATAAAAGGAATTAATATGAGAATAGAATTTTGCTAGATTATTAAGTTCATTTTATCTCTGTAGTAAGAAGGTTCCCATATTTTATTTAGTTGGGAAAGATTTTCAGAATATGTTTGGAGACAGCATCACAGTTTGTTCCCTGCTCCATACACTTCAATTTATAAAGAGACATTTGTACTCTTCAAGCTTCCTCCATGTTACACAAACATAAACCTTGTTTGCTGATAAGAGCCGAGAGTCCTTTGTGATGTTTTCTTTTTCACCAAGTGAGCTTTCTTCCTTTCTCTGCTATTCTTCTGCCTGGCTACTTAAAGTCAGCTCACCGCCTTCTTGCAGCCCTGTTTTCCTGCATGCACACTTGATCTTCTGAGTAGACACTGTCAGTAACAGGATTTAACAGCAGAGCAGAAGGAACTAAAATGTGCACGTTCACATTTACATTGGTATGAATAGTGCTGATCTATGATATTGTGCAATATTTTCTTTTTTTTTATTATCTACTGTCTGAAATGGAGCTGAAGTGATGTTGACCTTGTGGAATGCCTCTGAGGATTAGAGGTGGGGGTGAGGGCTAGATTTTCATGTGACTTATTTCTGACATACTGCAGCAGGACTGAAACACTCATCTGCTCACATAAGGAGGAAAGAAAAAAATTCCAAGATTGAGCTTGCAGGATTTGTGTGGTATTTTCAGAATTTTTTCCCTTGTGTTTTTCTGTTTTTCATTTTACCTAATTTGATAAGGGTTGGAGGTGGGAGATGGCCTTTGTATAATAAATAGATTAAGGGATGGAAGGAACAGGCTGCAATGATGATGATTCGCATGGTGAGGGACTGTTTAAAATCTCCAGGACATCATGACCCACATTGCGACCCGTCCGACAAACGGTTAGTAAGCTCCTTGGCCATGTCAAGTCTTTAAAAGTAACAATATACAAATACCTTTATTCATGTGCTTTTTTCTTCCATACAAATTTTAAAATCATCGTGCCTACATATTCAAATTATTTTTGTCTACATTTAAAAGTATCACCTGAAGAAGGTGAGAAATATAAATGAAGACTGTCCCTTAAATATCTCCTTAGTAGATTTTTTTTTACTTTCCTTTATGCCAAAATTCAGTGAAGCCTGAGCCTACATTTGAGTTATGTCTGGAATGGAAACTGAAATATAGTAATGAGGCTTTGAGGAAAACTCTGCAGTACTAATCTGGAGAACTTCTTAAATCCTACCTTCCCCTCTCCATGTTGCCTTCTTTTACTCCTCACCCCACCCCAAAAATATATTGCTGCAGAATTCTATGGGCTTTTTTTCTCATTTTGTAGAAAAGAAAGGAATGGGAGCTGTGTGTTGGGGTGGGGATGGGGGGGTATTGATAAACATGGGCAGTTAAATTTATTACATTAAAGAAATAGCTTTATTTTGCAATTCTGAATCTAAGGTCACTTGAGATTCATCATAGGAACAAGGCCTCTAACAAAACATGTAACAATTTATAGATGATATTTCAAAGTAAAAGTAGAGCCCAATATGTTTGATTTGAGAAGTGGAAGAGGTAAATTCTACTGTGATTCTTATTTTATGAAGTATACATTATTTTATATATTAGATCAATTGGGTTTGTTAGGTTGTTTCAAAATAGCTTTTTAGAACAGATGTGATATTTGATAGAGCAGATTACCTGGTATTAACAATCTTCTCCATTTGTCCTGTGTTGTTGCATTCTAAAATTGATGCTCACTAGTGACTTGAGGGGAAATTAACACTTCGGCAAATGCCTTTTTCCTTAATATTGTTCACTGATTGTATTAGCCATTTTCATTTCATTTGACAGTGATAATTAAGGGTTAAGCTTACAGAGCTGATGCAACTCCTCCTTTTCTTCAACAGCCATTTTCATTGGACAGTATTTCCATAGCAACAGTGAGATCAGAGGAACCTGAGTGTTTCATTGATTATTTTTCTCTTCTTCCTTTTTTAATCTATTCTCTTTTCACCACATTTTAGTGAGGAAGCAATTTTTTAAAATAAACAGCTATATTGATTTCTATTCCATAAATAATTAAAAGAGGGTAGAAAAATCTGCCCTTCATTTAAAAATTGAATGTTTGACTATGTATTTAAAAAGCGATTCAGGATTAGGAGGATGGATAACCATACCAGCTGTAGCTGATGTTCTCAAATATTCTTGCATTGTTTGCTGGTCTTCTAGGGAAAAGAATAATGTGGAACAGGACCTTAAGGAGAAAGAAGATACTATTAAACAGAGGACAAGTGAGGTTCAGGTAGGTGAACTATAAAATTCACTATTCCACTTCTGATTTAGGAATATTTTTTAAATGTATAAGGTCACTTACTATTTGATGGATATGGTATTAGGTTTAGGGAATATCTGATATTTGTATAATATAAATGTCTTTCTTTTGTAAAATGATTGTTCTTGCTTTGAATTCTGGCCTTTATTATAGTACAATGAGAAAGCAGAATTTTTCAGTGAAGATTTCTAGTTTTGAAAGTATTTTTTAATGATATTTACTTGCATAGTATATCATTAAAGGTAACTTTGAATGACTTTTGATATGAATATTATTATACCAACAAAATTAGATGAGTGAGGTCATCATCTCATCATCATGAAAAACCAAATTGCTTTTCTCATGCATATGAGATTGTATTAACTAGGAGACCTACTATTTTCAAAGACTGTTTCTCGTAATTCTGCTTGGGTAGGAGATGATATAGAACAATTTAAAATAACATTTTATATGTTGCTTAGCAGCCAGCATATCTTAACTTTGGTGTAAAGAGATTTAATTCATTTTCACTAAGTTCCTTGTTAAGTAGTTTCATTTTACAAATAAAAAAGGTAGTAAAACCTGTTTATATTTGGGAAGTGATATAAAATGGGGTGTTTCAAACATTAAAAACATGGAAAATTGGGCAGTGTTTCATTTAGAGCAGTAAACAATTCATGTGGCCATGTTATTGGGGTACCATTTCCTGAATGCTACACTAGCACATACAGGAGGAGATGCCAGTAAGAGCCCATGGATGGGCATTTCTTAGTGTGTTACTTGTATGTTGATTCCCTACTTATAATAATACTTCTAAATAGGCAAAAGCTCTAAATTGTTAGATCCATTGTTTTGTTTTGATGTGGTACGTTCATTAGGGGTTGTCTGTCAGGTAGATTATGCTAGGGTACAGAGAATGATTTACTGAAGGACTGAGGAAGAAGCCAGAGACATTTCTAGATAGTTGATTCTCTGATTGGGTGACTGCATTTATTCTGTATACTGGAATTTTCCTAAAAGCAATGCCAAAGTTAAGATATCACCACCAGTATATTTCTCTTTCTGGTAGTGAGATTAGGTGTAGGAGGATCAGTTACTTGAATCATATTATTTTTGTGCAGTTTTTAAGTTTCTTAACAGATTCCAGAGTCATAACTTTAAGCAGTTATTACTGAAAATAGCTCTGAGAATGGAAGACAAAAATCTAAAAATATTGTCTTGGTCTGAAGAGATACAATCTTTGATATCTTGGCCAGCTTCTAAATTTAGCCAGTTACTCTTTCAAAGTGCATAGGTTCTTGTGATAAACAATATTTTGTTACTTGAGTACATCCATCCATTGTTTTTTTTCCCCTATTGCATCTTTTGAGCATGGGAATTTAAATAACTGGATTAGAAGAGCACTAAACTTCACATTGTTCCTTTCAGGCTCAATGGGTTATTCTTAAATATTTAATTCCTTATCATTATAGAAGTTTTGTTATCAGAATTTCTCTGTGATTTGCTTGTTCTTACTTAATGGCAGTAGTAAGGTATATGTTTAACCTTAAGCTTTGTGAAATCCAAAATATGTAATTGACGCAGAAAATCCACATTGCTGAATTTTTCTGCGTAGGGTGCTATAAGTACAAGGAACATGATTAGCATAGACTGAATAGTAACGGTTGAACATAAATTCCTTAGAAAGTAATGCTGGATTGGGCTGGGGCTATAGCTCAGTGATAGAGCGCTTCTAGCCCATGTGAGAGAGACCCTGGGTTTGATCCTCATCACCACATAAAAATAAATAAATAGAATAAAGGTATTTAAAAAAATTTCAAGTCCTAGAAGATCCTTTGTAATGTGGACTTGATCTAAAAAAAAAAAGTATTAAAAAAGTATTGCTGGATTGATTAAAGCCTTAGGTTAGTAGATTCATTACTCATTTTATCCCAACAGAAATATTTGTTTTTAATGGTAATGAGGCACTAGACTAAGAATGATAGTAATTGATATATGTAAACACTTAGAACTCTACACTTTAGTAATCATTTCCAATTTTCTGAAGCACAAGACAACTTGCCAAAAATGGTAATAAGTAGGTTTCATTATATTAATTCTGATGTTACCTGTTGATAATGAAGCATGGACTAGGAATAAAATGGGTAATTAAAATCTATAAGCAGTTTGACTCTCAGTACTTCTTTTCTGACAAAAGTAATTTATTAGAGTTATTAATAGAAGCAGACTTTAAAAAGTATGCTTCACTGCTTCTTTCTGACCCCACTTTCTAATCAGGAAAAGAAAATTTGGCCTATCAGTGAATTTGGATTAAGTTCAAACCTGAAGATTTTTTTTGCTTAATCCAAATTTGTTTTTCTGAGTATCCTTGCTTTTTTTCCTTATTACTAAAGTCACAAATAATGAGTATCTGAGTTCATATCTTAAGCACAGAAACCAAACTTTCAAAATCAAAATTGATTTTTTTTGTTGATTTGTTTATTGTGGGTTATTTTTTTGTTTTGTTTTGTTTTGATGGTACTAGGGATTAAACCCAGGACCTTTTGACTAATCAACAAATACCTAGGGATTCACTCTTATTCAGTTTTTCATAAAGGTTTATAGCAACAAGTTGGAAACAAACTTGAATTTAGTTCCTGGTTCTACGACTTCCTAGGTTTGTGATCCTAAATAAATAATTTAATTATCCTATGCTTCTATTTTCTCTTCTGTACCAAACATTTCAGAGGCGATACAACAATAAATGTTCTGTTTAGTTTTATTATTCTTTACCATACAGTCACCTCTGTACACGCACCTTTCTTCATCAACCTTTTTTTTTTTCTTACCTTCTAACTTCACATAGAACTCTCTGCACATAGGACTTGCCAATTTGTATAGAACCTCATTTGGCTTGGCTATTGCTGTCACTTTAGCTACCACCTATTTTTCTCTACTTTTATTTCTCTGTGTGACCATTTTTTTTCCCTTCCTGTTTTTTCACCAACCCTATATAATCTGCTATTTACCTGTTTCCCTGTGCTTTATTTTTTCTCCTAGAACCAGAATCTTAAGTAATCACTGCTTTCTTGGGTTATATGCTTTTAAATACCTTCCTACCTTTTTTTTTTTTTTTTACTTACAATTGCCTTTGTGAGGATCAGATAAACAGACTGTGTGTGTGCGTGTGTGTGTGTATTTTTCCCTCCTTAATGTCAGATGCCAGTCCCACATCTTCAGTTAACCATTTTATATTTAGCATTTCAAAGTCAGTATCTATCTAAAATGAATCTATCTTATTGAAAAAAAAATCTTCAGGTTCGAACTTTATTATTTTTATCAGTTCTCTTTTTCATTGCTGTCACCCTTTTCACCTATCATGTATAAATTCACAGTCAGATCATAAGTGCTCATTCTGACCTCTTTTTCTTTTCTTCCTAAACCAATTTTAGTACCATGACTCAGATATAAAAATCTTTATTGTTGCCCACTACCACTGTTAATGATGAGAGATTGTCATATATCACCGATATATCTGAGGTAGAAGAAAAAATGAAATACAGACCCTCCTTCATACTAGTCATGTTTTGATCATCTGACTCTGAACTATATGCCATATATATTTCTCCTCATTATCTCTACTTATGCCTTGTGTTGTTATACCCTGCTTATATAAATTATACCAATGCCTTAAAGTTTAGCTCAAATTGCACCACTTCTCTTAAACTTTCTCTTCTCTTGCTCTTTAGTCTATATCAGTATTTCCTGTATTTTCCCAAAGGAGTGTATATCTATTTTATGGCATATATTTTATGTTCCCTTATAGTGCTAGCTTGGTGTGCGTGATATGATTCCAGTATCCTACGTTATGAGTTCTTTGAGCTTAGGAATTGTGCCTTGTATCATCTCTTCTGTATTTGGTAATATGTTATTAGATGGAGGTTAATGAATTGGTTGATTGATTGATTGATTGGTTTTGGTGCCAGGGATTGAACCAAGGGGCACTTTACTACTAAGATATATCCCCAGCCCTTTTTTGCTTGTTATTTTGAGACAGGATCTTGCTATGTTGCTTAGGCTATCCCTAAATTGCTGAGGCTGTCCTCGAACTTGTGATTCTCTGCCTCAGTCTCCTGAGTTGCTGGGATTATAAGCCTGCACCACTGTGCCTGGCTAGATGGAAGTAAATTTAAGGAAGCAGTTCACAAAAAAAAAAAAAAAAATGAATAAACTTTGATTTTGTGCATGAAACAAATAACAGGAAAAGACACACCCAGAAGCCACAGGCAGAAAGGATTGGAAGCATAGTAGGTGTCATTGAGTTCATAGTAACCTCATGTAAAAGAAGCTCCTAATTATTTGTACTTCATCAGTTAAGAGTAACTCTGTATAATTGCCCATATTGTTTTCATTTTAATTTTAATTCACTTAGTTGGTTTTTTCCTCAGAGGACGAGGGATGATTTATTTTAGTTAGAAATAAAATTAGATATATGAGCTCAACATTCTTTCCCTGGCGATAATGCTCTTTAGAATACACTGGGAAATAAATGATTAGGAAATAGAGGCAGTCTTGTTTGTGGGGTTTTCTAACACTCTCCTCATTTAATAGGCTTCCTTTCTGTTCTTTGACTTGAACATCTTGCTCCACAGTTGATCACCTTTTTTATTTTAAGAATAATCCTGTAACTTCTGTTTTGAGTGTATATAATAATGTTCCTGATTATTTCTCATTTGGGGTTAGTCTGTAAAGGTTTTTTTTTTTTTTTTAAGATAAATAACACTTTTTGTGAGATTACCAAAATTCCTCTTGTTATCTTTAATAATTCTTCTGATATAGAGATATTACTATAAAAATGTGTCTGTATATATGCTTTGTTTTTTTAAGCAAAACATATTGCCCTTTTGTTTATTTTCACACTGTATTTTGTAAGAAACAGTCAGAAACACATTCATTTTGTTAATATTTTATAGGTTGAATTCTTACTGGGGATTGAACCTAGGGGTGCTTAA